ATTTGTTAATTTATTAAATCTTCATACTTGACAGTAGATGAGGGTCATAATTTAAATCAAATATAGTTAAAATTGGCGTTGTTAATAATTTATTTGATATTTTCTCAATTTTTCATATTTCACACACAAATTTAATAATAAACCATCAAATTGAATGTGGTGAAGAAATCTTCTTTAGAAATTTATTTTTTATACATAATAAATCTATTATGAGTAATACTTCAAAGTATTTCTAATAGAAATATCGTTTTAAGCTCTTCCGCCTTAATTTACACTAAAAACCACTAAACGCACAACGTAATAAAAATGTTAACGTTGCACCAATAAATCTCGGTTTTCTTGTTAAAGTTAATTTTATCTTTCACGTACAATATCTTTTTTTTTTCTGTGTGAACAATGAGTTTCCGAAAACCTCCACGGACCGTACCTAATGCTTCGGATCTCGTTCGGGGCCTCCGGTCCCTTCTGGGAATTACAACATCCGGATTAAAATTCTCAATGGGGTTAAGGAAAGAGAGGATAAACAATAAAAATAAATAATAAAAAAAAGTGGAGGAATGAGAAAAGAGTGAAAGGTAGAAGAAATATCGCTGCATATTTAATATCATCAGTAAACTTGATCTTTTCTGTAAATCCACGTTTTAAATACAGTAAGTAGAATGGATGATTTTAAGCAGTTTACGTGCAGCATCTGGTGGAGAAGGCGAGGAAGAATAAAACGCAGACGGCCTTTATCTTCACTTTATCCTATATATACATACATTTTTTTTATGCAGTTCATTGTGCAAATTTTGGTTTGAATAATTTATGTTGCAGAATGTTTTATATCTTTTATATATTATTTTATAAAAAAACGTAAAAGGTATATTTTCATCATTAATATTTATTAATTATTTTCAAAAATGTTTATATATTATTAAAAATTAGTTAAAAATTCGTTAAGGATGATGTTTTAGTAATGCAAGCAAGCATAAGGAATTATCTTCTTCTACCTGCTTTAGTTAAATTCTTTTGATCTATAGTAGATGTCGCTACTAGTATAGAAAGGCACTCGTCGTGCTGCGCTCCTCTTTGAAACTGAAGTCAAGTTACGGAGATTAAACGAAATCGCGTTTCCAACAAATTTGTTATTTAAAAAAATAATGTGGATTTACATAAATTTTTCACATAAAATAAATTAATAAGCCTTTTGTATCAGTTGACTTCTTTTAAAATTATATATTTTTATTTCTGTATATGTACTTTTTTGTACGACTGATGCAATAAATATTGTTATTATTAATAAATTGATGATTTCTTTATTTAAATAGATAAATTATGATCCAACCTACTTTAATTAATGTCCTTTTAATGAAACATTGAAAATATTCAAATATTATACTGTCAAAAAAATTCGCTTAACGAGTTTAATCCGTTCCAAAATTTCCAGATTTTTACTCGTATAGTGAAACATATTCAAAAATACAAATAATATGTGTACACAAGTTTTAAAAATGATGTAGAAGGCGCGCAATCCGAGACTTCTTTTCTCATCGTCACTTGTTATGCGAAACGTCGCTCGTTAAGCGAGTCTCCACTGTACTTAATTTATAATTTTATGCCATTATGTACAATTTTGTAGAAATCTTTTGTAATAAAAATCTAGTGTTAAATGTCCAATAACACGATTTTGAATAGCACGGAACGATAATCGTGTTATTCAATGACTAACTGTTCTATATTAGTAACAGTAAGATTGCTCTTTTTTTCTATTGTTTATTGATTAATGACTAAGAAACGGATGATAAATTTGTGTAATCGCTTCAGATATTTGCAAATCAATACTGATAGTTTTTAAAGCATTATTGAATTCACATTTGTTATTATGAATCATAAAGTTGTAAGCAAAGAAACTGTTTTTATTTCAATGCGACAAAGTTTCAGTTTATCTCTGGAACTGGTGTTAAATGATCTTTATAACTGATTACGGGTGAGTTAACGAAGGAAATTCGTTTCTTTTATCTTTGGGACGTGAGGAATCACAATGACTGGACGAATTTCAGCGTAGCTTCCTATCGGAGAAAGGACAATGGAAGATAAAATATTTATAAGAAATTAAAAGAAGAAAAAAAATAACAAAACCAGCTTAGTCACATTTTCTTTTTATTATTATTTTTATTTCTTAATTCTATCTCCCTTTCAGTTTCTATTTTTTTGTTACATTATTTGTGTGTGTACTGAAGGGACGAATTCGGTGTCCTAAAAAATGCGAGCAAGGAATGGTCCCTGTGTGTGTGTGCTCAGCTTAAACCCTCATCTTCATCCTCCTCATAAAAGCATTTGATGTGAGTGGCTTGTTGTGTACCGTTTCGAATATATAAATGGTTCGATTAAGGAAGGCTGATGTTCCGCGTTTCTTTTATTTCCTGCGCGGACCACAATGTTTATCTCACACCGAAGAACCAAAGGAGGGTTTCCAAACTGAAATGAGGACTTTTGGAAGAAGAGAGAATGAAAGAAAGAGGGTCCATTCTGCTGCTGTTGTTCCTATCTTATCGCAAATGCAAAGTGGACATGGATTCGGCGCTACCAAGAGCCCAGAAAGCACGGCACGCACGGAGCAGCGGACTCTCCCATAAAAATGTAGAGGCGGATGGAATAATAATAATCGTTTACGTTTTTATTGCATATCATCATAAATATTATTTGCCTTGTCTTGTTTTTTATGGGACGTGGTAGGAAGGAACAGCAGCAGCACGTATGAATTCATCCAGCCCAGACCTCAAATAAATTACGATGAAAGAGGATAAATGCAAGAGCGAAATGTGTAACAATTCATTCTTCAGGACAAATATGTACGCATTTACATTTTACCATTCACATGTGATGCGGCGGTATCTCCTCCAGTTTACATATTTCATGCAGCCTCAAGACATGCACAAAATACGTACGCACCGCGGACGCTCATTGTTATCCCAGATTGTAATCATTCGTTTAGCGTTATCTATTCAATGTACTTGAATGTTAAATTATCAAATTATACTTGTTTCTTCATCTCTACATGTCACATCTTTACAAACTCAACTCAACTATTTTTTACGTAATATTTAGCGATTTTAACATCTTCAAAAAGATGCAAAATCTCAACATTTTATTCACGCACTATTAAGCAATTTATTTACACCAACTAACATAAGTCGATGCTACTACAGAGGGAATAGAGTGAATGTCACACAAACCGTGTGAAAATTCTCCGACTCACCTTTTAATGTTTAATGCATTTCCGGTTTCGCCCTAAATTGGGGCTCATCAGTGTAATGTAGTCGATAACCGACAAATTACAGACCGGGGATCGAATAGTAATAAATGCCTGAAATGTATCCATTTAGTTTTTCCGCATCAATTCATACAAAATGCATGCAATAAGTGAATCCAAATCAAGCAACGTTATATTAACCTCTTTCAATATAGAGTAATACTAATAATAGTATACAAATGGGATTTCAACTAGCTTAAATGGAAACAAAATGTTAAGCATCGATAATTTTAAAATACAATTATAATAGCATTTGCTACACGATTTTTCCATTAATTACAAAACGCAATTGAAACGAAACTTACAAATATTTGTTACAATAAGTTAAGGCCGAAATAGAGAATTTATGTTTGTTAACTGATAAAAATTAAGTAATAAACATATTACATTTGCATCAATTATATCTTATAATTTAGTTCTATTAATCGAATTATTCTTTTCAAAATAACATAGTCAGCGGTAAGAAAATAAGAAATTGGATAATCCTTATTTAGCTGACGCGCTATTGGGTTTCTATGAATAACTATTGCAAGAAAATGTATTCTTTAGTTTTAATTTATAGTTTCGTAAACAAATATAAATAATAGATACATAAACATATTATATTGAGTTATGAAATAGAAATTCTCATATTCTTCTTTTTTTCAAAGAAATACTAATTTTTGCATTTTGTGACATAAAATCAATACTAAGAAACTAAAACTGTATAAAATATATTAATGAATTTGAATTCTAGATTTTCTCTAAATAAAAAAATATATTTCAATATTAACAATCGGAATTTTTTTTGTGAATATTATAAAATTGATTGGTAATAAAGATTATTTCAAATCTTACATAAAATTTTATAATATTTCAGTGAATAAATAATTATTTCGTTTAGACGAAACAGTTTTTCCAGAAATATGTAATAGTTATAACCAAATAATGAGTATAAAAAATGTTAGATTAGTTTTTAAATAGAAAACTCAATATTGTTTTGTTTCTTAATTGTGTAAAATGTAGTGATAAAAATAAAGCTTACTTGTAAGGTGCTTCGTTACAGGCTATTCTTGTTATAATGGCTTGCAAAGGAAGAAGTAAAATAAATCCCAAAAGATGTGGTAACACTTCTGTCCCTAATCTGTCTTAAAATTAAGGCGCTCATTAACCGCTCATCTATTTATATATAGCAGCAATGAGGGAATAAAGTAATGATTTTTAATGGCCCGACTAAAACTATAATAAACACTTGAAGACATCTTTCTTTGGCACTCTTGAAGTTATTGAAAACTTTACTGCTTGGATTACATAATAGCATATTCGACGATGAAACTTCTTTCGGAGATGTGTGAGGGTTGTTTTATACCTTCTGGGTAAAATATGTGATGGAATGATGATGGTGTGTGATGATGATGGGGAGAAAGGTCCTCGAATTCGATAGGCGTTCCTTCCTGCCGTCGAGGACAATCCGTCCGTTTCCACATATACAATGTCATGATGGCTACTGGTGGCTGGTGTCGGGGGTCCCCCCAAAGACCCCCCACACACCCCGTTTGTCCCACGAAGGCCCGCAAAGATGTACAGCGATGGAGCGCGAGGTAGGGGAGGCATTGTAACGTGTAACCGGAGTGTGTAACCCCTTGCAACCCTCCGAAGGGCCACGACGAAAGTATCCGAAGCAAAGACCCGAACTCCCCGACGGTACCATAGGCCATCACACGGATCCGGATCGAGTTCAGTTCAGTCCGAAGCGTTCAGTCGTTAGGACGTGCTTACATAACGAACACCGAGCGATCCGCTACACGCGTCAAAGGATTTACCAACGTTCGTCTATTAAAGTTTCCTTTTCTTTTTGGATAACAAAGTTCTGTGCTTACTCCTTACATCCGAAGCTTGTGTTATGTGCTTCGTACCAGTGCTCTAACCATCCAGATCTTCAACACCCTTTATTTTTTTTAATACTAGTAGTCACTTTCTGTTGAAATCACGTATTTGTTCCGCGATGGCCAAGTTGTTTGAGTTGGTGTTCGCCTTCCTGGCTATATTTTCATCCACGACTGCTATGTTCCTCGGTCACGAGCAGGACGTCGGCAGTCCCTTGAGAGTGGCCCAGTGCAGAGCCACCTGCCTCGAAAGGGTAAGTCTTCAAAATAAAACTTTTTGCAAATAAAATAAGAACTTCGACAGCAACAGCAACTACAACACCTAAGTTGCGAAGAATTTCAATGCTCTAATGAAATGCAAATTTAATTGATACCTCTCGACGGTTAATTGCGCTGCGTTTATCTTACGGAGAAAAAGATATAAATAGTTGGAGCGCAGGTAGAGAACCTCAGATGTAGACCTCGACCTCTTAGGCTACAAACTAGATCTGCGAAACTGCACACATTTATTTCATTCTCACTAAATTAAAAAAAAAATAACAAGTAGTTTACTTTATTTTTCAAAATTTAGTTTTACTTAACACATTTTTAAAGAAATAGTAAATCTTTTTTTTATAAAACAGAACATACTTATATAGAATTGCTATCAAAATCTACTCATACAAACATGTTTAGTTAGTATTTTTTAGTAAAATCTCTTTATAATAGAGATTTATTTGAAATATTATTGTTTTATTTAAAATTTGTGTTGGTTTAGTTAGGAAAACCAATTAAAATAGCTGTCACCGCAAGGCGGGTTTAAAGTTGGGACTATTCGTAGTGAATTCAATTTGCTCGCAATTAAAACCATTTGGTAGTAGGGTTTTCGTTTGTAAATTTCCTGAGTCACGCGGCTCGTGAAGAAGGGGAGTGAGCGACGAGATCAAATGGCCTAATCCCGAAAGAATTAATTGTTTCGGGGAATGCGAGATGCGCGCACAAACATTTTCGGAGTAGTTTTAATATAAAACCTTTTACGGAGGGATGAGGCGGAATTTGGAATTAATTTAGCAGAAGTCTGGTGAGTCGAGGGGATGGAGACGAGAACATGTGCCGCATCTGCGGGACGGATAAATAACGCTATGGGAAAACATGCAAGAGATGAAAAATAATATAAAAAAAATTAGAGTATATATTCTATGATATTGCATCTGGAGAGCTGTTGGTTACATTCTGCGCTTAAAGTTAATTAATTTCGTTGTAATTAAATTAACATCGCGCGCTTTGGCCCAGAAGGGCCTTTGTTTACCAGACACGAAATATCTCTTTCCCTGTTTCACTGTTGTGTCTGTGTATTCTGGCCAGAGTAAAGTTGCCAGGCATGTGCTGCCATCTGCTAATGATGGAGGCTGGGATGCAGGTTGATTTTTTTTCCGGTTTTATTTACGAAATGTCGCTGCGAAAGGAATGGAGAAAGAGATGAAGAGGAGTAGTACAGTTAGTCGTAATTGTTTTGGCCGATCAATCCCACCGTATGCAAATCGCGCTCTCTGGTCTTAATTGAAATAAATGGAAATTAGCGGTTGGGAATAATTTACTGTTTCGGAAGGATTCCTGTTCTTCTTGAGGTGCAGGTCGTAAATCAAATCGGATTAGATTATCTTCGTTTCGTTTTACTTCATTTGCTCGAAGGATTATTGCTCAATTAACGTTTCAATTTGGATGCGATATTTATTGTCCGGCTTGCGGATTTCGGGGAGGCTTTTGAGAGATGCACCGAAACCGATCGTAAAACTATCACGAGGCGCATAAACATAGGCACCTTTTTGCTACTCTCTTGCATAATGCAATATCATCTTGAGAGCGCTGCGTGCACGCTCTTAAAATCGCGCAATTTCCGATGATTTACATCGAGTGGTCTTCTTGTCAGAGTGGAGGATCGGGTAGGCTTTTGTTGCTGCGATGATTATGATGATGATGATAATAAAAGACGGTCGCGCGCGTTCTAGAGGTGCGCTCGCTTACATACATATATACCCCTGCTAGAAATGGTAATGATAGAGCAGTATCTGTAGATTTTAATAGGCATGAAACGCGTATCTTGGATGCTCCGGAGAAATTTGCATGGGTTATTAGAAGAGTCCTCGACATTTCGCACGCACACACTTTGAAACCGGTAATTTCCTTATTTTCTTTACGCAATTATACCGCAACACTTTGCGTCAACCCACGCAAACACAGACCTCACTCCAAACATCGCAGAGACAGAAATATCATTGTTTTCTCTCCTTAGGACCACCCAAAAATATGCTTCTTAGCAACAACTGAGAAATTGAGCGGTCCATGTGTGGTCCGCGGCGCTAATTACAAGGCGAAAATGCCTCTCATCTCGTTTCTCCTAATGAATTCATCCCGAAACTTCGCATTCGCTTTCCGAGAACGAAGCAGCAGCATCTCCTCACATGACGGAAAAAAAAGAGGAGCCGCCGGACTGCATTTTCCCATTCGCGAAAGCATTTTAAATGTTGTTGCCACATACGTAATCGTCGCCGATCGCTTTCCGCCTATTTCTGTTTCGCCTTATCTGATCCTCTCCAACGGTGCGACGCACTCTCCATTCCATTCTCCATTCCGGATCTTTCTCCTCTCTGTTTTCTATGTGTCGTCGTCTATATGTATCGTTAACTATAACGATCTCCTTTTTCCGACCCATTTGCGTCTCTCGCAAATCCGACGGATCCGAAATCCACCTGCCTCCGTAATCCTTACCCTTACCAGAACACAACGCGAAAACCTCACAAAGAAAAATCCATTTTGTGTTTCTTCATCCTTCACCCGCAGCCCAAATCCTATCCCATTAATATCCGAAAATAGTTTCCGCACTTAAAAACATTCAATTCAGATCGAAAACCGAACGAGATCAAGCTGCAAGTGCATTATTGCGTAATCCCAATTCTAAGTATAAATCGATTTCTTTTACTCACTAAACACTATCCAAATTTGGGGCACACGCAAATCCAGATCAAGTGCATCGTTGCGTAACTCTGTGAACAGGTATAAATCGCAAATTTCGCAATCTTTACATTTCACCTGTGTGCACAAACCAGTCTTTTCTGTTATCAAATTTGGATCGCGAGAGTTACTTGAAAACCTTGAAATGCTATTACAGATTTATAATGATTTAATTGTCTGCATCAGTTTTACCTTTCCCATATTTGGGTTTGACGTATTTTTCATGAACGCACGTATAGAGAAAATAAATTTAAAAAAAGGTCGACCGTGGAATATATTAATTGTAGGTAATTGGTATCCAAAAGGTAATTGATTCACAATAAGTGACGTTTGATTAAGGAAAGAAAGGCGAGTCGAAGGGAACAGGAATTAAGTGGAGAGAACGAGAGTCATCGATCAGGTACAATCATTAATCATCATCGTCGCGGATAATAAATGACCCCAAGGGTGTTCCTTCTTAGATATATGCTAAGTAAACATAGTGGGCTTTGTTTTCGAACCTCTTCCTTCTTTACTTTCATTCTATCTTCATAGAATACGCATTTTCAATTAAAATTAATTTGACACACTTTCACTAAATTTTCTTGATTGCGTTTTCCCCAAGTTCTATAATTATCCACGCTTTTCGTCCGGTCAAAGCGAATGCGGTTTTTTCATTGGAGGATTGATGATGGCAGAACCGGAGGTTTTTGGACAAAAATTAATTAAATTTTTCCTACAAAGTTCCGAAATCATCATCATCATCAATTATAATTATCCGGAGAAAATCGGCTGTACAATCTTTCGCGGAATGCGTTGACCAACTGTTCGATGCTTCGCAACAACAGAAATAATGATTCAGTTTTAATTAAAACATCATTTTTCTAATTCATTATTTTCAAATTTGATTTAAAATCAAACATGAAATCAAATCATGTAATTCCAAGTGCATTTAGAAATACAGAAAAAAAACCATTTAAAATGTAATCTTTTTTCTCTTGACTTGTAAATTTCGATAAAATTCAATATGCGATTTTTCATTTACAATTTGCTTCGGGATGAACTTCAATAACCGAAGTAAATATGATCTGAGCACTAAGAGAGATAAAATCTTCTATTTATCAAGTAGTTTTAAATAGCAATATAATTACAGGTATATAGTATCATGTATGTAATCTGTAATTACGTCCTGATTGGTTTGTTTGTGGTGCGGTGAATGCAAAGAATGCAGGAAGCAGTTTGTTGCAGTATCTTTGGAAAAAAGATGGTATATTTCTGGATGACATGCAGCAGGAGAGTACGAGGAAAACGGAGAGGTGGTCTGTGGTCAAATCTTTTTCCCTTTTGAACATTGTAAACTAATTACCGTCCGCTTTCACATTTCGTGGCTGCCATCCATAATTACGTTCCGATTGGTTTATTTGCGCGTTTATGGACGGCGGTCACGAGAGTGCGTTTCTCGGGAGGAACCTTTTTGCCTCTTCCCTCACCTCCTTCTTCTCATTTCGCTACTTTTCATCATCTTGTAGTTAATTCTCTTGGTCTTTGGCTTCGTGTGTCGAGGAGGAAGAGAAAAGGGATCGTCGTGTGTGTGTATGTGCGTGTTTCGCGCGAGAGTCGATTCGGATCGCGGCGTGGCCGGCACATACATATAATAGTAGCTACCTGTCCAGTTGCGACCAGTAATTTATGGCTATTGAGACCAGATCTGTCATTACCTGTACGTATCGTCGATCAACCGGTGGTGCCGTATAGCATTCAGTTATCCTGCCGTATCTCTCTCCATATATCGGCCCACATAAACCACTTAGGCTGCCGGTTTCATCTTCCTTCCTCCTCTTTCTCTCTATCTCTTCCAACCCTACTAGAATACCACAATCCTATCCCTCTCTTTTTTCTTCATTCTACCACCGATTCCGCTCGAAAATCGAATAAATTCCGCTTTCCTTAATTAAAATGGGCAGAGCCCTTCCCCTTGTTTAATCCGCCCCGTTTGCAGCAAGTTTATGCGGTGTCGTATATCGTCGGATCGGCGTCGCCACCAACAGAAGCAGCAGCAGCAAGCAGCAAATTGTCGTCCTTCTCCTTCCTCCTCCATCCACCAGTATGTACATACACACACAATAATCCAATCTCCGATTTATGGACGACAAATGTAATTTGAATATTATGCGGTCGTCGTTGCCGCCGTTTATTGTTATCACGAATAATATTACCGTACATTTCGGAATTATACATACCAATGCGTTTTATTTTTTTTACTATCAATTTCAATTAGTCCACAGTCCATCATTCCCAAGGAATATTACCATATTAGGTTCAAAATACTTCTTCAAACAGTTTATTAAATAAAATTGAGTTGTAGACGTATTGACTTTAATTTCTTGCGAATATTACTTTTTTGAGACGTCAAAAGATTCAAATCTAAAGATTATTCAAAATACTTGAAAGTAATTATTATAAAAGTATACATTTTATAATAAGATGATGATAGTTATGATTGAAAGGTTAAGGGGTATGTTTGATCCGAGGATGATCTGAGACGCCAATCCAATTAGAATCTTAATGGATGGACGATTCGGAATGGAAGTCCCCTGGATGGAAAGAAGAAGGAGGAGGCAAGCAGGCAGCGCACGTTCTTTCTTTCTCTCTTTTGGCATCGCAGAGAAGGATGAGGAGGTGGAGGAGAGAACGCGCGTTATCGTCGGGATAAATTTGAATGCGAAGAATGGGGCGCCCATTGAAAACACGAACAAAACAAGGCCTAACATGTGTTCCTTTTGTGAGCGGCTGAAATATGGCCGCCGCGTCCGTATAATTCCCATTAAATGTTAATGATACAACGGAATGTCACACAATTTAATGTAAACATGCGGTCCCCATTTCAAGTTTTGCGCAAATTCGACGGCAAAGCGACCGCCGCGCGCGACTTTATGTGATCCGAAAATTTTCCAATTTCATCCGCCGGACCAAAAGACCAGCGCATAGAAAGAGAACAATTTATATATACATACATAAAAAGGGAGAGAGTTGAAGAACAGGACGACAATTTGTTAAATAAACGCAGTCAGCCGCTTTATACGTCTTTTAACTACCTTTGTTCTTGCCTCCGCTCTTCTCCATCCCTCCGAATGGCCACAAGGAGGCTTTGTTTTGCTTACAGCTCGTTTCGCGGTTGTGATATGAACCTCCATCCTCTCCGACTTCGAAAACGTTCCTCCTTCCTTCTGCTGCTGCTTTGGGTCTCCCCAAAATGCACACGCACATAAACATTCAGAGACAGACACACAAAGGATAATTCGCATCTGTCGTTCGTCCCTTTGATGATGATTTCTTATACACACCCGCATCGGACACGCACAGAAGAGGACGTGCGAATATGCATATACAAGCGCTAAACTCGTTAAATCATTTGCCCCGTTTTCCCTTTGATCCCTTCCTCACCTCCACCCCTTCGAAACGCGGATACATTTTCGCTGTTTTTATTTTTGGTTGAATTAATTTCAAACTGCACCAGGAGGGATAATGGATTTTCGGCCAAAACATCCCCATCTCGCTGCAAATCCCCTCTTCCGAAACGCACGCAAATTTCCGATATGCTTCATTAAACATTGTTTAATGGATCTCCCACCACTCCCAGCGTGAATTCATAAACATTTTTTTTTAAATTTATTATTTACATACCTTTTTTCTCTTTCGAACTATGATCATATATTCAACTGGTTTCAAGCATATATTATCAAGTTTAAGTATTCAAGAGTAAAATAAACTTTGACATTGATAAATAAATATACTGCAGATTCATAAATACAGTTTTAGAAATCAATATTAATTGCTAAGGTCTTGATTAATTATAATTCTCCATATTATCTTAAGTAAGCAGACTACTTATTATAGTTCAAAGAAGATAATTAATATCTTAAATTCTAATTGGAATGGACACCTGAGTTTCGCTTGTTAGAAGGTTCCACCTTTCTATTTAATGACTGTAATTGAAACATCACATTAAATCCTAACATTTGGTTTCCGTTTCTCGGTCCCAATTGCTAATTGGAACGGTATATCCAAAGTGCTCGCATATACTCACAAAAAAAATGTCCACCGCCACCTCCGGATTTCCACGTCGAAGGAGCTTCCAGTGCGTTCTTCCCTTCTCTCTTTATCTTTTCCTTCTGATTGAGGTGCACGCTTGACGCAAAGCGAAACCGCAACAATTTATGGCGTACTCCTGCGGAATATAATATCGTCGAGTCGTGCAGACGAGCAAAAAGCAAAACGCCGTAACGGTCCAGGCCTCTCTCCCCTTTCTCTCTTCTCGATCCTCTGGCTTCGAAGAGTGTGTGTATGTGTATGCACACGTCGTCGTCGTCTTCGACTTCTTTCGCTTTTTTTTTAATTTTTTTTTCCTTCCATTCGCCAACTTCGAGAGAATGCAGATTCCATCATCGTCTAATCAAGAGGCGCATTCACAATTAACCAATATTTTCCCGAGGAAAGTCGAAGCAGCGCACGTCGACGTAAGCGGATTACACGGTTTTTGCATAGCTCCGCACCGAACGGCAGATAATCAAAGTAAATAAATTTCATTAGTGCTTACCCGTTGAACTTCAATGTCGTCCTGTCTCTAGAGCTTAACGTCCTTCCATCCTCCTTCAACGCATACCCACGATTTTGCGGATGGCTGGAGGAAGAGCGACAGGCTTGAAGAACAATTCCCATATGCGATCCTATCTTATAGTCTCTACAATAAAAAAAAAACAACCCTCCTAATGCGCTCACTTAGCATCCATACGCATCCATAAATAATTAAATTCATATTTTATGGATCTGTTTCCAATACACGATTGAAATTTATTCACGATGAATAATGAATAGAGTCATAATGAAGCCCCATTTACACCACTTTTATTGTCCTATTAAACCGAATCTAAATATTGTTATAAATATGCAACATCTAACGTTAATCCCAAAACAAATGTTTTATTTATTAATTATATTCTATAAACAAACAACATTTACATAACTCAATTGAAACGCATTAACATTCTGAAATATGCTAAACTCGGAAGCGCCATTAACTCGTTTATCGATTATCCATTACAATTTATTATAATTTACGAAGAGACTTTCAAATTCATTATGAATTCCATTTGAAATGTGGGATGCGCTTCTTCTTGATGGACGATTTAAAATTAAAACAGGAAAATGAATACAAAAATAAAAATACTTGAATGTGGCTTCACGTGGAAAAAAAAAGTATGAAGAAGTTTATGATATGGTGGAAGATTCACATCGTGAAATCTCTTAACGAGTGTTTGATGTCTAGAAAACGAGTTTACTTGAATATTAACATCGCGCGGCGGGAAGCGGATATATCCGTGATGTGCACTTACAAATTTCGTTCGGCAATTAGAGCGGATCGAGGTGGTGTAATAAAAGGAGCCAAGGAGCCGCCGGCGTTTACCAAAATTCATCCTTTAAAATGAATTATGTTAATTGAAAATCTCCGTTGCCGAGAAGACATTCGAGTTTATCAATGGCGTGCGTATCATTTCATTTAAATGAAGATGAAAAAATGTATACGAGTAATCATTTTCCTTGGCTACAAATTACCCAAAAAGTTTCACTTTACCTTTTACTGTTGAGATATAATAACGCCTTTTGATTACAGATGGTTTTTTTTAATACCGTCATATTTTTTTAATAATAATTATATATTATTAATGCTTCTTTGATAGTTTAAGTAAATAATATATCCATTTAAAAAATATCTAATTGAACTGTTGGATAATAAATTGAAGTTCATTCTTAAAATGGAATTGTAAATTTTATATTCGCATTTGGCTTTTTGATTTAATTTTGGTATTGAAAATTAAATTTGTGGAAGAGCGAACAGGAAAATGAAGAGCGGGACAGAGGAGGGTTGATCACGGGCAAGTGATCTGCAACAAGTGCATTGTGATTTTTGATTGATTATAATCGGTAACAAAGGCCCAATTGAATTGATGAGGACATTCATATTAAACAATGAGGATGCGAGAGTTTTGGAGTTGTGTGTGGGTCGCGAAACACACGCACTCCTCGCACACATCTACACACACACGAATAACAAAATGGGATGGATGATGATGATGGGTTGGGATGCGATGGAATGGGATGAGAGTATTCATTCTGCTGTTGCAGACAAAGTGAGAGTGTATGGAATATATGCATGGGGAAGAAAAAAAAATGTTTCACAGCTGGTCGCGGAATTCATTAGGGTGACATTCTACACGCCCAAACTATCTTGAACATTATGTATCGAGGAATATGAATACTAATGCGACTTGGATTGAGCGCAATCTCTTTTCTTCTCTTCGGTCATTCATTTCTTCTTCTCCTTCGGTTATTGTTGTTGTTCCTGAAGTAGAGAGGAAAGGAGAGGCCATATTTCAAGAGAACGAGGCGCATTCGGAGAGCAAATGGATTTTTAATGATTTCGTCGATTCGACGACCGTGCGTGTATTATGAAAAGTAATTTTCGTTCTGCTCGGCCGAAGGATAATAAACATGATGATGATCAAAATGATGATAATATTTGCGGCGCGAATGCAGCGGCAATACAGCATCCTAGGATTGCTTCTCTCTAGGATTTCTGCTATTCTCTCCGCATCCAAGCGAGAGAAAGGACTGTTTTGCTGCTGCTGTTGTTGTAGTTGTTTAATGCTGTGGCGGATGTTGCTCTGGTCTCCTCTCTTCTTCCAATGTGCAAACTGGAGTTGAACTGTCAGCGGCAGGCATCGCGCCCGGCCTTATTAAAACTTTAATGAACTTTCGCCCACGTAAAACCTCATAACTAATAACGTATTCTTTCCTTCTTTTTGCAGTTTTCCAACGACGGACCTAACGGTGAATCGATGTGCCTCCAGGGACCCGATTGTTTTATGGTAAGCAGAGGACGAACAAAAAACGATTATTAATTCGAGTAGCTAATCTCGGGATTCCTTCTACATATTATTATTAACCGTTTTCTCTACACTTTTATTCTTCCTCCTTTACTCTATCTTTCTCTCTCTTCTCCTTTTCATTCGATGCGCATTACGTGGAAGGAAACTTGAATTACCTCAAGGCGGCACCATTTTGTATACGCTGTATACAGTATATGCATGTGCTCCGCTATAATTTTCACCTCCGCTGGCTGCCGTAACAATGTTCCCTTCGTCATTTCAGCTTTTTACCTTCTTTTTATGGGGGAAAAGACTGCAATTAAAAAGATATTTGGTCTTCACGACAATACGACCACGAATTCATAACAACAGTTCTATCTTTCCACAAAGATTTTTTTTCAGTAAACTACAATAAAGTCTCAGACTTCACTTAAAATTAAATCACAGAGATATATAATACAAACATATTAAAAAAAATATTTATTTTTCTTTAAGTTTTCATTCTTTAATACACTATCATATTATAAATGTAATATAGTTAAAATTGCGAAATATTGTAAGACAATAAAAGTTACATTATAAAAGTTTTTTAATGGAGTTGTATTAAAATAACCTTCAATGTCCTTGCTATTTGATTTCATCACGGGCAAAGATTGAAAGCAGGGATGAAAAAAAATATATACGATGAGGTTATTGGGTCTTGATCCGATCCGGTAGTCTATCAATCTTGTTCATGTCGTTTAATGGAGTCACCCATTTTCAAACTTTTATTCGTTATACACTAACCTTCCATCATTATACTCTATTTTATTTAGCATACATGAAATATATTTAATATTTGAGACTAAATTGAAGTGTTATTACTCTAGCGACTTGGGGTTTCCAAAATTTTAATAAAGTGGCTCTAAAAAACAGGTGGGAAAAGAACAACAAGAATGGTTCCCATAAATCATGCGACCGAAATTTTACGACACGATTTTTATACGGGGTAAACATTCTTGTGTCTGAAGGGAAAAAGAGACATTTGGACATCTTTATGAATTGGGGGTCGGTGGGGTGTTCGCCATTAATTTGGGAGCTGCGGGGGTTAAAGGTGACAGCGTCGCTGCTCCCGCTACGGGACGTCCATGTTGTCTCTCCTCTGGGTTCCCTTCTGGAAAATCTACCAATTTGTCAATGCACGAAATGCGAAGACCCGATAAATCAACTAATTACGAGCCGTTGGTCGGAGGATTTAATAGTAGCAGCACGTTGCTGTCTGCCCCTGTTCTTCTGATCTCGATGGAAGCAAACAAAAAATATTGTCATCTATGTATAAAAAGTATTGCAGTATCGGTTTGTGTCCGTCCGTCTGTTCTCTTTCTGTGTTTTATGTATTGATGTATATGTATATATATTTATTGGTGGGTTCAACAAATTGCAGTGACCGTGATCGTGAGCGGGTCATTACCTAATACCTCACGATCGGCGCGGCGCGCCGTTCCATCCGTGAGGGCTCGCGCCTCTCTTGGGGCATGAGGTTCACCACCCACCTCAGCCTCGGTTAGATACGATAGATATAGTATTTATATGCAATAAATCCGTACACATGGCCCGTAGATACCGGCAGTACTACTGCTTCACTTCTTCTCCCTTCGGTACAGAAAACGTTTGTCTCTTCGCCTTGATCTTCCTCCGCTTCCAACAACCCTGGGAATCGCGAGGCTATGACCCCGACGATAACACATCCACTTCACTGCACACACAATAGACGCATTGTTACATCGAAAGACCACCAGATAACGAACCCTCTCTTCTCTTGCCTCCTCACTCTCTCTCCTACCCTCCTTCATCATCATCAGCTATATATCGCATTACGCATTGTGCGAATGGTGCCGATTTGCGATTGCGAGCATTTTTGGACGTCCGATGCTAATTCCGAAACACGATATTTAATGTACCAGATCCCCGCTATCAATTGCGCATTAAATTTTGATCACTGTCAAATAGGGGTTTAACGTACAGCGAATTTGCGACCCCTTCTCAATCTGATACCCAACATCCATACCGAATGTCTATACATTTGATCTCTTCTCTTTGAATACAGCCAAACAATACATTTTCTACTTAAATAGATTGTAATAGATGTATCTTTTATCAGATAAACCTACATCAACTAAATGATACAATCTGAACATCCATAATACAATAATTTTTGATTTACGAGTATCTAGTAATTACCATTTCAACAATCTAAATTAACTTCATATTCCTTAATAATCATATCAACAAATGATTTTGTGTCTGCTTTTACAGATTAATATTTATGCGTTTCATTATAAACATATCTAAGTTATCCTCAATAAAATTACATTGTTCAAATATACTAATGATTGCACCCCTTAATGAGGTGATTAAATTTACTTTTGAGCTATCAGTAAGATACGTAATGATATGAAACTAGCTACCTGTCTTCTTAATGTGAATCTAATTATATTAACTTTCTCCCCTTAGTTCGCCTTTACTTTTTTTTTCATCTACGTCCACTATTATCTCGCCTTCATCTACCAAACAACTTTCTGTTTATCAAGCCTCTGAAGATAAATTAGATGAGAGGAGGGTATATTGAATTTTTGATCCCCTCCGTAATTAAGCCCTTTTTCTGTTCTCTTTCTCTCTTTACTCTTCTTTTCTTCGCCTTTTCCTATCACTAATGAAACTGATAAAGTGGATCTCACAAGGAGTGAGAGAAAGTTTCTGCAGCCCCGATGGATGAGCGAGTTAGTATGGAATTTTCCCATCGTCGAGTGGCGGAGGAGAGTATTGCGAGCAGCGTTGCGTGTAATTAAATAAACGCATTTTCCTAGCGTTTCCTTCTCGCCCCTTCGCAGCAGTGCACTCAGTGCCTCCGGAAAAAGAGGGAGTCTCGATAAGGAAATTTAATCACTGAAAATCCTACACACACAACGCAACGCTTACATTTACAAGCAACGTCCTTCAAGTTCTGGTTTGTTCAGATAGTAGCGACAGAAATAACCGTTGCTGTTATCAACTTTGCAAGTAAATGATTTAAAAAAAAACTAGTTATTTACTTGTATTCTGCTATATCAATAAAAGGAGTGTAACATCGCAGAATGAGTCACTCACTAGTAACGGGAATATTTTAATCGAATTCGTTTAGCGCACGAAATTGAATCACCCAATGTTGAGGAAGAGGGTGCGTTTTTTCCTCTTTGTTTCGTGTCTCCTTCTGTGCGTATATTTTATGCGTATCTTTAGGGCCTCGCGTGTCGATCCCTTGAAATCGAATCGCACAGTCTTTCACCCATAGATCAACGTTGATCTCGCGTGATACCGGACGGACCGTTATGCTACACACTACACCAAGAGGGGGACTTTTTTTTTATCTTCCCAAAGTGAATAATGTATGTGACCCGTTATTAGCGTAGATAAAGGATATTTGTTAAATTTAGTGAAAATTTCGATTTATTTTTTTTCTTTTCAATTTTTGTTTTCGAACTTGCGTCGCAAAGTTTACAAACACAGACGTCCAATAAACCTGGCGCCTGCTGCACACGCTGTTATAGGGAATCGTTTTTAAAAAAAGAAAAAGTCTAAAAAGAAGCAGCAACGGCCGTAAAGTGCGCAGTGTTGATGCTTAATGAACACATCGTAAAAAGCCGGAGTCTAAACATCTGGATCGAATTTGCCCCGGGGAGATTTATGTGACGCGATTTGTGATTAATTATTTCGTACGGATCGGCGATGATGTACAACAAAAGGAGCAGCGCCAATTGGATTCCGATCCGGAATGGCGAAATGTCTTTTTGATGGAACGAAATGAGGAGAGGAAGAAGAAGAAATAAATAAAATGAAATAATAAAAGCAAAAGAAACTTATGTGAGTGTGTGTGAGAGGAAAGGAAGAAAGAAGGATTCGTGCTTGGCAATATATAATAAATTCGATTACACGGCCGATGTTTTCAATTTATTTCCTACGTGCATGTAGGGACAGAAGAGGAGTCTGGAGAAGAGAACAGAAATAAATGAAACACAAACTACACATTAGGAGGGCCGTGTCTGTGTGTGCGAGTTGTTCGTTTTTTTTTATAGTGCATCATCTTCTGCTTAACGAATTTAGAAACGCGGAGGAGAACAGCATGTGGAGATGAGGCATACATAAATAATTACAAATATACACACTACACGACTAATTTAGGAAAGATTCTTCTCCGCTCGAGCGCATAAATCTTTGCGACGGACCCGGGTTTTAATTTAATAAAGAGAAGGATTGTTTCTTATCCCGATGGGTCATCAATCTTAATTCCAAACTGTTATTGTTTCTAATTCAATTGACAAACACGGACGGCCGGCCCACATGGTCGGAGATTCCACTTGGATGAACGCGTGTTTTCAATAGAATGGTCCGTCCGGTCCAGGTGTCAGCTTTTAACGTGAAAAAGCATATTTCATAAAACGATTGTTGCTGCTTTCGCTCCAGGTATATGCATGCATGCATATGCACATTGTTGGGACAGGACGATCCTTTTCCATTGTATGCTAAAAGCTGCCGATTTCGTTGGCGAGGTCGAAAAGGGGGGAAATCAATTATTCTGATTGTATATTAGATCGTGATGGGGAACGACCTCTTGAGTCAGTAAATTAAATAAAAGTGAAATTATAGTACGCGGAATGATTATGGACAGGTAGTGTTTAGTTATTTTATAACCTAGCTAATGATAGGCCTTGTGTGTATGTTACATCTATACGCTAGAGGAAGAGGACACGGAGAGCCTTCCTTCTCCTTCGAATTATGTTGGAGGAGTAGAAGAGCGAAGAGAATAAGAGAGAGAAAGGACAAAGGAATCTGGCGATGTTCGCGAAGGGTTGAGGAAATATTAAATCGCAATTACAACGATGTCCTCTCTTTCTCTCGTTCCCTGGGTTTTAATCTCGGCGAAATCGAGTCCCGAGGAAAAGAATAAGAAAATAATGAAAGGAGGAATACAGCCCCGCGACGGGACAACAATGAGTCTGTTAACCGCGCGCGGAAAGCCCTCTATCTCTCTTTCTCTCGCTCATGATGGTCTGCTTCTTCTTTAACTCTTCATCCAACAACAAGCACAAGCAACCAACCAACCTTCCTCCTCCCAACCGTTCATTTCAGTTTTTGTTGGCCTCCTCTCTCAATGCAGACGTTTAGGTAAATACAGGCTTTGATACACAATAATGAGAGGTTTAATATACTTTATGCGTCTAAACGAGTATCTTTACATCCTTATAGCTTCATATTCTCGCTCTTATATCCGTAGGGATTGTAACTGGGATATATCAACAACGGCACTCTCATACACAACACACTGAGCCCCAGAACCACACACTCTAATGAACTGAAATATTTACACAATCATGCCCACCAATCGCACCACATAACATGTCAATTCCATATTATTAAAGCAACAGCTTGGCCACGGAAGAAAGGCTCAGAAGGCCGAAGAGAAGGAAAAAAAAAACAAACAAAACAACGAGAAGAACCGCGTTGCAACAACATAAAATGAAATCATAATAACGATGCTGATGAGAGCAGCAAAGCCATCATCGTAATAAAACATCCACCGATAAAGTTGGAGCTGACCAAAAACTCCTATCTATCTCTTTCACATTCTCTCATCCTCTCCTGGGATGGAGAGAGGATAAAAAAGGGCCGAATGGAAATCACGCCGGACCCCAAATATAATTACTGTAATTTCGCCTCTGACAGTATGCGGGCCATATATCAACATTAAAACTTGAAAAATGCATTTTTAATACCGCAACAAAATATTCACCAAAATATACACCCCGAGAGATCGCGATTTATAGTCCATCCACGACAAAAACAAAAGCCTTTTTTTCTGCTCGCTTATTAATTATGTTATTTATTTCTTCATCGATTGCTACTTTAATGTTGAGCTTTCCAAAATTCACGACGTAGCTCCAATTACTTTTCTCCTGCAGCTTCTGTTAAAAAATGTATGCACAGACAGTAATTCCGTTTTCGGAAATGAATTCATCAACAATTCAAGCACGCAATCTCGTGGTTCCAATCTAAAACAAGGCCAAAGTTTAATGAATAGTTAAAAATATGTTTTTCCCCAACTACTTTTAATCATGTAATAATAGTAAATGTGATTCAAGTAATTTTTGTTGAGCTTTGCCTCATAATATACAAATGGGAAATGGAAACGGTTTATATATGCAGATTTTAAATTATAGTTCTGAGCGAACGAAACCTTTATTAAATAGAGTAGTACTACCGGCGTAAAGCCTCTGCACTCTACGGCGCGGATTGCGCATGCAAATTTAAATTGAATGCGAGATGAAAACCCGGATAAGAATAGAAGGTTTATAATTTTGGATCGCACTAATTATATTCTCGTTGCGGATACTAGTTCAAAGCGTGACCCATAACTCGAAGGGATAGCTGTTTTTCAGATTTTTCTAAAAGATTTTTTTTGTTTGTTTTCAGTGCTGGGAGAATTGCGAGCTGCTTCAGTCCAACTTCCAAGTCTGGGGCGCTATGTGCGAGGAGAAAGAGATATGTGTAAGTATATATACATGAGATTACGAGGAATTTGACTGTTGCCTTTTTGTTGTATTTTACTTTAATTCCTTTCGCGATAATGGCCTCATTGTGCGTGTGCGTGTGTATGCAACAATAAAAGGCCTTGTGTGTTTTGCGCGCGAAGGATGAAGAAGAAATGTCTCGTGGATTCCTGTGTATTATGAAAACATTAACGGATTACGGCCGCTTTTGCATAACGTTTTCAAACGGAGGCGATCCTCCGGACCCTAAGATTAATGGATTTAATTTAATATTGTATAAATAACTCACCCCCTCAGCATCTGCGTTTCTCTCTCATTTTTCTTTCTCGCTCTTTCTCTTTTTTGTATTCGTTTGTTTCGGTATTGCGCCCTCCCCGTCTGCTCACATTCTCCTTTCGCGTAATTAAAGTTTCATTCTAATTTATGGCCGTTATTAAATCAAGTTCTAATTAAGCACGCGTATAATGCGACTCGCGATTCCGAGGCATTAAAAGGTTTGTCGTGTTCTCCTATGTTCCCTCTCGACGTGAGTTAGAGAGAAAGAGGCGAACAAAAAATAAAGTGTAGAGGCAAGAAAGGAGAAAATGTAAATAAAAGTCTTTTTTACGGTGGTGTATTTGAATTCTTCGTAATAAAGGTCGCTTCGCATTTATTTTATTTTTATATATGAAACTCAAAATCAATATTTTTCTACTTGGGGCCATTATTTACCTTAGGCAAATGATAAGAGTGGGTGTAGTTGATGAATGCGATTGAGACATGCGATGAAGGAGATGCAGTTTAGAAAGTGATCAGTTGCGTTGTTATTTATCTTACGGTTTTGTTTGGTTTTGCTGCGAGTAACCATCTATCTGTATGCGCTGTGATGTGTTTACAACCCGTTTTACTCTAATTGAGTTCAGGTGTTGTGTGGCCGTAATTATACCGGTTCCGAGCCCGTTTTAAGTCGTAAATTTAATTATCGATTTATTGTTGCAGTTCCCTGGATGTCAGGAAGCCTGTCGTTTCCATGCGGAGGCGTCTACTAGGGCTCAACAGACGCAGCCCGTGATCCACACGAAGGGCGAAGGTGTCATCAGGGTGATGGGGGCATTGGCTAGATGGCCGAGACCCTCGTCGGTCAGTCTTACCACGCCTCTGGTTTACGTAGTCATGAGGAAGTCGGTTTCGGGCCCTTGGCGTCAGATCATCCAAACTCTGGATCTTACAACGCGCGTTCCTCTTAACTCCGATCAAGGTGGTTCGATGTTGAGGGTTTTGGTCGTTGATCCTCAGGGCTTGGTTACCATCTACAGCCCCGACGATGTTAACGTAAACGATGGAAAGAAGAAAAAGAAGACCATCAACACGGAAATCAAAGCTACGACAAGCAAGAGCATTTCGAACGAAGGTTGGGTGTTGCGTGAGATTTCTCTGATCCACCAGAAAGTTTTGGTTATTGGTGAGATTGCCTGGGAACCTAAAACCAGCCGCGGTGTTTACTTGGTCACCTGGGAAGTCGATGGCGGTGGTTTGAAGGGTAACCTGTTCACCGACTCCACTTGCGTTACGTTATCACTTTGGCCCGATACCATCTATCACATCCAAGTCGAACTCGTGTCGCACACCCCGGGCGTAGAAAATCTCAAATCGGAAATGATGGATCTTGATACCGGAAGAGCCTTGAAGGTCTCCACAGAAAGCCAAGAGGATTTGAACAACATAATCCCTGATGACCTCGAGGACGTCGCCTACGATTCGCAACATCTTCTGCCCATCCTCGTTAGCAACTGGAATAGTGTTGAGCTGGTTATGGGAACATGCGCGGCTGTCATTCTCTTCTGTGTAGTCCTTGCTTTGCTTTTCTGGAGGTGCCGGAGGAGGAGCGGCCAAGCCATCGACAACATGATCACCGGATCCTCTTCCATACGCAGTCACAAACTCGTCGAAGAATATACAGGTAATTTAATATCCCATCCGTAACCAACGATGAGAAGTGTTTCTAACTGCTGTTCTCTTCTCTTGCAAATTATAGGATTTCATCCGATTATGACCGTTGTGGGAGCCGTGAACGAGCGGACGGATTGCGGATGCAACGAGGAAGAGCTCAGAACGCCTCCGGAGGTGTCTTTCAGCGGTGCGGCCAACACAACGCTCTGCTCCAAACAGACGTGGAACGTTCAGGTGTGACGCCATAGCGACACCATCAAGCTGTCCTCCAACATCGACGAGATCGAAGATTATTAATCAGAGAAGAAAAAATCGTGCAACAACAACAACAAAAATGTTTCTAAGTTCCTAAAACAGTGTTTTTTTTTCGTCGGGCGCTTACCTTAGTGCGGAGTTTCCTTTCGTTTTTAATTTATTTACAAAATAATCATCAATACGAGGGAAAAAAAGAAAGAAAAAGTATATTTATGCGAAATTAAAAATTTCCAACAAAAAAAAAACGAAGATGACGACCGAGAGAGATCGAGAAGAACTGAAAGAAGTGTCTGTGTATATGTGTAAAAAACTAGTCTAATCACTTTATTAATTACTAAATCGAAGAAGGATGAACTGTGGTGGAAGGAAGAACTGCTGCCAAGTTATGATCGAGTGGGATTACCGCGCGTGTGTACAGAAGAATGAATGGGAATGAAGTTGAAGTGAAGTGCGAGATGATAGTGTATAATAGATGTATAAAAAAAAGAAGATGGAAATCATTGTGTAAATTTTAATTGGTAATTGATCTTCAGACAAGTAGCGGGAATGATGATGAAGCGAAAGAAAAAAATAATATAAAATAACTAGTAGTCTGATTACGTGTTTATATATATATATATATTAGTTAGCTTCGGAAAAAGAAAATGTGACAAAAAAAATGATAAGAAAAACTTAAGCTCTTCGCATCGTCTCTACTACTCCCCCACACTTTTTGAAATAATGGCCAAAATAAACGTAATAATCATTGATTTATGTAATTCGCTGTTTGAAAAAAAGATATCATGTTTATTTTTTTTTTCTTTTCAAGATTCATTATTATTTCTCGTATAATAGTGTCTTTGTTTTGCTCGCTAGTAGACGTGACGTGAAAAGCCGTCGGACGCCCAAAACAGACTTAAACCCCCCCTCCAAATCCTCAATTATTATTACAACTAGTTTATTTTGACTCGTTTTATTTTCATTCGATGTTTGTTTATTAAATCAATTTTGTTGTAAATATAATTATTAATTGTATTATAATTATCTATTATATATCATATATAAGTTATTTTTCTATTAAAACAAAATGAACGAAGATGGAGTTATGAAACATGGTCTTTTTAGTCAAGGATTCCATGTCCGGATGTGTACATATTGATTAATAATAATAATTATTATCATCAGTGGATAAAATCAAAGTCGTCTATGTTGTTTCATTTTACAACCCACACATTCACATCCCCTCATTTTTTTTAGGAATAAATATGTGATTTCTTTTCTGTGTTTACAGTAAACTAATCGACATTATAAATCTATGCGCAAACGTGATATTCTTATACGAAACGAGTTCGTGCGCATACGCTTTACATTACATATCACTGACAATTAGTTGAATTTGTGTTTACAGGATATTTAAATTATTTATGTTATTATGAATACATTTCAATTGTAAATAATTGAGAAAAAAAATGTATCAGACAATTTTTAGTTAAAAAAAGTAAAATGGTGCAAATATCTGTAATATTTTTTTTTTAATAATTAGTTATAAAATTATCTTTTAAAGAAGTTTAATTATTTAATCTAAATATGTAACTTATTTCTTAGAATACTTTTCTTGTGCGAGTTGTCTTTTTAGCACTATTTATTGTGTTTATGAGAGCTGTTACTGTTTATAAAAGGTCTGCGTTCTATTTGTTCCGAGTTAGTAAAAGGTACCGGTCTTTTATCCAGGTAGTATGAGCAACTTTTAACGTCCCGATGAAGTAGCGACGACTAAAGAAGAATAAAGTAAATTTCTTGAGAAATGGTCGAGAATTCTTGTTCAACCTGAAGAGTCAACAGCTGATTGTTTCGGACGGTCGTTGAAAATGTGTGATAATATTCATTGAAATAAAAAAAGGATAGTAAAGAGTGTGAGAGCATCAAACACGAAGAAATAAAGAAAGAAAAAAATGGGAAAACGAAGCAGAAGAAGACGAGAGATTAATCGACGAGGCCGAGCGCGCAAATGCCATTAAATCGCATTATCGTTAATCGAACAATTATCTCCGTGGTATCCGTGTGTCAGGTGCAAGACTAACTGCATGTGACTCGGGTCGAATGTATGTTGTTTTCGCCGCTTCGTGTCTATTATGCACTTTTTCCTTCCATTCCCAAGGAGAAAAGGAACGGACTGCAGAGGAGATCGACACACACATACACACATGCACATTTGATCTTTGATAACCATCTTGGGGGCTCAGCCTCTCTGTTCTTTCTCTCCGCACAGCGCAGTTAACGTAAGTAAGTACGACTGCACCCGTTTCACATTTTCTCACAAAATGTCACCGCTTTCGAAATAACGCACACTACGTCCGAGATAATCGCCAATTAACAGCAAATAATTCGATCCAAATTGATCGACACCCAGCTAGAAGCAACAATGACCTTGAAATTGTCTCGCTTTACGTCGTTTTTTAAATATATAGGTATCCTTAGTATATCTCAAGATAGTTACGTATCTAAAAGATCTCATAGTCTGAATCAATCTAGCCAAAAATAGTATATAAAGATTGTTGCATTTAACTTATTTTCTTTGAGAAAGCACAAAAAAAATTGCAGATTTGGTCAATTTCATATTCGATGAAAGTAGTATAACTTGAGAGAAATTAAAACAAAATATATTTTTTTTATATATTTACATAAAACTGTGACTTTGAACATATACTGCGGTGTTTAGTAATTCGTCAACAGTGAACAGAATTTGGGACTTTTGGGACATATGAATGTGTTGTAAAAAAAGTACAGTATTAAAAAACTGGTAACACTTTCACACGTATTGTCGTAATACTTAACTACACTTAAAGTTTACTTATTAATTACAATAATCTCAATGCTTTTGTATTCGCAACAACAGGAATTATAAAAAGGTCGTATATATTTAAATATAATTGTAACAAGTTATGGTCGAGCAAGAGAAACTGCAATTTATGGAAAGAAAGAAAAAAAAAAACATATACACATCGACAAATACCGGTTTAAATCAGGAAATAATATTAATATAATTTGTCGAGGTTCGACGATTATGAGAATTAATCATAAATAATAATTAAATGGAATAGGAAATTAATGTATTTCCTATATACAATTACAAAAATGAGGTATTATTAAAAAAATAATTGTAACGCATCGCTTCATTTTATATAGCATATAAACATTTAATAAAGTCGTTCACTTTTATATTAATTAATATTTCATTAAAGAGAAATCATAAATATAATAATGTAAAAAGTTGCAAACTAACATTTATCAGTATGTTATAAATCAGCATTTCTCAATATTTGGGTTAATGGGTCGTGTTAAATTTTTAATTGGTTGCGAAATTGAAACTTGTAAATACGTCAATTGAGACAACTAGAGTCAAATATGATTGGTCGCGCTGCAAAATGGTTGAAAAACATTGTTATAGCTGAAAGTTTGTTAGTTCTTCATCCAAATGTAACATTTATTTCTTGTTTTGTTTTGTCTATCCTTTCAGATTGCATCTAAGTGTACACGAAAATAACTTGCTTTAATCAGTATAAATTGATCATAATAAATTATTCCTAATTTAAGAAGATTAAGTTCATCTAAGAAACTAATTTTATTGGAAACGAATTGGTTCAAATAATATTGATATTTTTTTTATTTCAAAGATCAAAAAGGCTTTCAATAAAATGTCATGTACTTTGCATCGAATATAACTATTATAATATTTATGAGCGAAAAAATGAAAAAAAGAAACTGCCTTGACAGATTAGTGAATTAACATTTTTTCGACATTACACAATCGTTTATAAATATTCAAATCGCCTCATATAAAATGCACGTAAATGTATATATATATAAGCGCGTACTCTCGTTTTTTATTATATGTATATTCAATTCCCTTCGTTCGATCTCTGGGGATTTAAAATTGAAATTTTAATCACGGAACGTGTCATGTTATGATTAAAAATCAATGTCAATTCGTGCGGCGCGTGTAATTCGAGCACATTTGTCCTCCTTCCTTCCTTCAACTCACGAGACACATGCTCAGCGTCCGAATTATGTAAATACCCGGTCGAATTGAATAGCATATCGCTAATAGGTATCTTTTAATAAATCCAGTTTCGTAAGAGCTTGAGTTATGAGTGAAACGGATGCTGCTGGTTAGATAAATAGTAGTAGGAAAAACGTTTCCATATCCTTCTTATTTAATGCTTCGATAATTAGAACGAGTCAATTACGTGAATCCTACATGGAAGATTTATACCGGTAATTATCTCAGTTCTGAAACGCTTAAATGTTTTTGTATATAGATATATATATAAATGTAAGTCGAAAGTGTAAGATATAAAAGGAACATGCACATGTGAAATGTTCATTCGCCCTAGGTTTACGATGAAAATCCCGTAAAATGAATAATCCTGTATAATGCGCGCATGAACGCAATTAAGCTTTCGCACAATAAATATGAAAGCTCCGTTTAATGACGACCATTACGTTATTTAATGTAATTAATTTTGAACTCTTTATCGTGCGCAGATTTTAAGTTTGCTAAAACTAATTTAGCAAATGCAATTATTTAGTTAATTTAATAAAGTTTTGATGAATTCTAAAAGCATGAAATTATTAAAATTCTAATAACATTGTTTAAACTCACAATGTTGTTAACTTTTGTTAGATATTTCGTTCATATTCAAAATATTTACAAAAGAATTTTAGTAGAACATTAATGATTTCTAGTGATTGTTGTCAATTTGGGAAAGAAATCTCTTAAGAATTATAATTATGACCATAATTTATTGTGATACAAAAAATAGTAGAAATTAGTTTCTTGTAAGCATCTAATTTAATGGTTATTATTTATAAAATATTTAAAGGTAATTATGTCCTTATCTTTCCTATAATATCTTGTTCATCAAAGCGGATCTCTCGTAGATTTGAAGAAAACACCGAAGATCGTAATCTATCTGAGAATCGTAGCCGCGTTTTCAGTTTGGTTTGTAGTTTATTTTATATATATTTTTTGTTTCGAGTGTTTATACTTCTTACTTTAGATCGAAAGCATTCGGTATGAAATAGCTTTACAAGAAATGCCATTGTTAACCGGTTTTTCCGATTCCGTCCAGGAAAGCGATTTGTTTTTCTGAAACGAACGGAAAGGAGGAATGATAGAATTTCATTCCGAGAAAAATCGAACTGACCGACGCATTTAGCATTCACTCTCTCGATTTTAAAACGATTTTCATTTTTTTCTTGCATTTTTATTATTTATCATCGTCACTCATTTCAGACCTCTTTTGTGAGAAGTCCAGTTTTCGTCTTCAATATTGATTTGTTTTATTTTGTATTGAAAAACTGTATAAACGTTCCATTTTTTTTACTTACTTATAATATCTTTATTACTTATTGTGTTCAAATAGTTTTAGGAGTCCTAAACGTATATTTAAGTAAATAATAAAAATTATTCATGACACTAGAAAAATAAAGATAATCATCATATCTAATAAAAAATTAACAAATTACCAATTAAAAATAAATTTGTTTATGGTTTTCCGCCTTTAATTATAATATTTTTTCACAAATAGAACTAAAATACAGCAGTTTTAGTAATTTAAAAAGTAGATTTATAGAAAAACTGAAATAAAAATGTTAAATTGTAAATTTTAAACATGAAAAATTGTGATCATAACACATAATTAATAAAATAATTAATTTAAATAAAGTTTACATAAGTAAATAGCTTCAAATTATAAGCATAGAAAAAAATATTTTTGAAAAAGTGTAGTCAAGAAAGATTTGTAAATAAATAACAAAATCCATTTAAAATTGTTTACAGAAAACTTTTGTCATGGTATAACAATTAAAGATTTTCATTAAAAATTCTTGAAATGTTTTAAATTATTATTATGAATTTATTTCAAGTTTATTGTATTAAAAACAATTAACCGATTGCTT